TGCCTGTTACTTGTGGTTTCATTGTGAGTGAGATGAGGATTTTGAGCAGAGGAGTGACATGATCTGACGTCTATGTGTTAAGAAACATTCTGTGGCTCTGTGGCAGGGCCAGGCTCAGTTACTGGGAAAGAAATGTTGGGATTCTGGATCTACCGGGAAGGGCAGGTTGAGGGTGTTTGGAGGATGCCTTGGTTTGTGGATTGTGAGTAAAAGGAAAGTTGTAGTTGACTCCAGGGTTTTCAATGCGAGCCACTGGATGGATAGATGGGGTGCCTTCTGCTGCAGTGAGGTGGTTTTGAGAGATAGCCGACAGTCCTATGTGGGGCATAGATGGGCATCAGTCATCCCAGTGGAGACGACAGCCAGGCAGACCCCCCGTCAGGACTCTGTAGTTCCAAGGGGAGGTCTGGGCTGCAGATAGTCTGGGGTCCCCAAAGTAGAGAAGTTGTGTAAAGACAAGGTACAGTCATTGCATGGACATGTGCAGCTGTGAACATGAAGGTGGATCCTGATTTCCTTGGATGACCTTGAGGAAGGTGGAACATGCTGACACCACAAATAGATTGGACACTGGGGGCCTCGTGCACCCTGTTTGTGCTGCTTGGTTTTGGTGTGGGTGGGTTGGAGGTGTGGTCTCCATGGACTGTGATCCTTGAAAATGCTGGCTTCAGTTTTGCTCACCAGATATCACTCCTGTCCTCACCATGCCCCTCCCTTTCCAGGAGCACTATTTCAGTGAGAAGCTGGGAGCTCATAGGTTGCTGATAAAGTAGGGGGTGTCACTCTTAGGCAAAAGAAGAGAAAAATAAACACAGAAAAGGTCCTCTTTGCCCGAAGTGCTTTTCATGCATTAAATCTAAGGAGACATGTGTCTTTAAATCTGGGTCCTCAAATCAATCACTTGCTGCCAACATGCGTCTGTGTTCAAAGTCAGTTACCGTCCGATGCTTCTGAAAATAGACCTGTGCTGACCAATCATGACTCTTACATAAGATTTAGTAGTGACTTAAGCCTGCAGCAGCCAGGAATGTGACGTGACAGGCTGGAATGGAGCAACTCTTAGTGATGGATTTCCAGCCAAATGAGAGGTGACTCTCTGGGTACACAGAGAGTACACCTCAGCAGACAGGGCCCTGCTCTGGGGAGAGCTGGTGGCATGGATGGACAGAGCTTCATGGGGCTCGCACGAGTCCTCTTGAGCAGGCATCAGGAAGCCTGTTAGTCTCATCACAGCTTTGAAGTGGGCTGTGGCCAGTCAAAAGCAAGGCCAGCAACAGTGAACCAGGAGAGAGCAGAAAGCTCCTACCAGAGTCCAGCCTGGTGGGTCCATTGGCCCCAGCAAATGGCTCTCCCCAGCCACATCCTGTCCAGGACCATGCCAGGTTTGTAGGGCGATTCCCTCCTTCCGTTCATGGGGACATTGATAGTCCCATGCTCCTTGCTGACCAGAGGAAGATACATACAACACTCTCCCAAATGTGGTAGGAAGGCCGAGCAGGGCACCCTCTGCAGGTAGCGCCTCAGCCAGCCTCCTTCTGCAGAGACTTCCCTGTCCTTGTGCCAGGCTTGGCACTGACCAAGGCAGGTGGGACAGAACCACCCTGGGCCATGCTGCAGAATTCGACACCGAACGTCCCAGTCCTGTTGGGTCAGCCAGCCCTGACCACTGTGCCTCCCCAGCTGTGCCCCTCAGGTCTTCTGCCAGCCGCTGTCAGTGGGATCTGTCTCAAGTGCAGCTCAGATTACTGTGCTCTGCCCAGTGGCCTCACTTCTCCTGTGTCTGGTCCTGAATGCCTCGCCTTCTCCTTAGGCAGAACACTGATCCATTCCTGCTCACCTCGGAGGCCTCAACGTGTACGTCTTCATCATCTTCATCTTCACCAGCTTCATCTTCATCATCATCATCATCATCTTCATTTTCACCAACTTCATCTTCATCATCTTCATCATCCTTATTTTCATCTTCATGGTCCTCATCCAGCCACCTGGTTTACTGGAGCAGGTAACCATCCCTGAATGAGTCCTGCCCTCTCCTGTCTGTAATTACTGAATGACCCCAAGTGGGTTGGTTGACATCTCTGGGTCTGAGTTATCTCTTTTTCTGCTGGGGATGATTGACAGTGTGTACCTTCCAGGGTTGTTTTATGATATGAATTGGAAATAATGACTGTAAATGCTGTTCAGCCTAGTGCTTGGCAGATAGTAGGTACTCAATGAAAGGGGGTCATTACTGTGGGCTGCTTTGCCCCCATCTCTGCTGTATCTGGCTGCCTCTTTATTTGTACTTTAGGAATTGGCTTAGAGAACTCCTCCTGCAGGGAACCTTCTCTGGTTTCATGAGACTGAGGTGGGCTTCTCCTGTGGCCTTTGCACTTCTCTCTTGAGTAGTTTAGGTGACGTGGTGTCGTGATTGTTCACTAACAGGTCAGTCTTCTCACCTCAGGAGGCTGGAGGGAGGGCAGGAGCCATTCCTTTAAACACTTGGTGCAGCTCACCCATCAGTCACAAAATGCATGTTTGTTGAGTGAACGAAAGAAACACAGCCAGCTCTCTCTGCTTGGATGGGTTGCTCCCTGGCTGACGTTTCTCCTGTGACACGACCTCTGAGGATTTATGCTGAGCTCCAGATGTATAGACAGCTCACCTGGTTCCTGCTGTGGCAAACAAGCTGCGAGTTGGCTAGCCCATTAGTGTGAGGGAGGTTGTTTACTGAGACTGTCTTAGAAGGGGATTCTCTGAGTGGACACAGCTGAGTTGTGGACCTGGTTTGGACATGTCCTTCATTCATTCAGTGATCTTCTGTGGAACGTAAGATTTGAGTCAGTGTGGTACCCAGCACAAAGTGAGTATCCAGTGGGTTTTGACTGGGTCCACTTCATTCCTGTTTATCCTTTTTATTTGTTGTTGTTGTTGAGTTTGTATCAGTTGGGCACTGCTGTGTAACAAACCACGCAGAACTTCAGTGGCTCAACACAACCACCATTTGTTAGTTCTCGTGTCTATGGGCCAACTAAGTGGTTCCCCTATGTCAGTGGACCTTGGATAATTTTGGCAAGGCTCTCTGTGTCTCTGTGGTCTGCTGGTAGGTGGCAGAGGGCTGCAGGGTTTAGGGTGGGCTTGGCTGGTCTGGCTCAGCTCTGCCCTGGGTGGTCTGTCACCCCCCTGCAGGCCAGTGTGGGCTTGCTCTCCTTCAGGTTCTAAGAGACACAGAGCAAGTGAGGCCTGGGCTAGAGACTGCATGGCCAAGGTACTATAATCCACAAGCCAGTTCAGCCCCAAGAAGGTTCCACACCCTCATGAGAGCAACTGGCATGCAACATTGCGAGGAGGATGGGCAAAGGGGGTGTGGAGAACTGGGGCCATTTTCCATCTGGTCTGCCACCATCACTGTCATGATCCATCAGGTATTGAGCTTGTGCCTGGTGCAGGCAGGTCTTCCTCTTGCGTCGTGGCCCCTAGCCCTCACGTGATTCCCTGCTGGGCTAGGGAGGGCAGGGCCTGAGTATCAGTTCATGGACCAAAGAACTGGACGGTGAGGGTCGCTCAGCTGCACTCATGAGCGGAGGCTCTGCTTCCCCAGGCGTGCGCCCTGACCCTGTGCCTTCCCATCTGGGCATCCTCCCGCCTGCCTTCCTGTGATGCTCACAGCATCCCGAGACCTTCCAGCCCCCACCACCCAAAGGGAAGGTGGACCTCCTGGTTTCTTATGCCCTGGTTAAGAGCTGGTATCTCCAGCAGCAAAATACAGCAAGTGCTGCACACTGAGTGCACGTCTGGTGGGTGCCCAGTGCCAGGGAGCTCAACTGTGCCTCGAGGATTCTTGGTCCTGGGCTAACTCATTCAGCACAGGGTCCCCACAGCTCCGCTCATCCCCTGTCTGACCCTTTTCCCACAGCTCCGCCTTCCAAAGGTGCTGCCACCATCTCCCTGGCTTCAGCCTTCAGGGTTCAGCAAGATCCCCATGCCCCAACCCCTTCTATGGTTGTTGCCCCCATCGTTCCTCTGCCCCAAAGTCTATAAAGCCGCATCACTCTCTAAGCAAGCCCCAGAGGCCCACGAGGATGGCTCAGCCCCGCTCAGTGGCCTGGTGCCTCTACTTTCACCCCCTCTAGCCGCCATGCCAGCCTTGCCTGCTGCTTCAGCTCCACTCCCTGCTTTCCCATGGACACCCCAGGGATCTGCCTGCCTCATCACCTCCAGACTGGCAGCTCCCTGGGTTGGGAGGGAGACCTTTCTGAGGGATGCCCACCTTATGTTCTCAGTGACACTTCCCTCACAACTCCCTCTACCCCTGATTTTTGGCCTTTAAAAAAATGAGACATAATTCATAGACCATAAAATTCACCCTGCTGCAGTGCACACTTTGGTGGGTTTCAGCGGACCTGCAGGGCTGTGCAGCTGTCACCTCTAAGTCCAGAACATTCCCATCACCCCAGAAAGGAACCCTGTTCTCCTTAGCAGCGTCTACCCATTTTCCTCTCCCCTGTAATTGTGGCGACCATGAATCCACTTTCTGTCTCCGTGGATCTGCCTCTTGTTGACATTTCACGTGAGTGGTCTGGCTTTTTCCACTCGGTATCTGGTTCTCAAGGTTCATCCAGGTTGTAGCAGGTGTCAGTGCTTCCTGTTTCTGGCTGAGTAATATTCCATTGTGATTTAAGGGAACATGAATATGCAACATTTTATTGATTCATTCCTCCATTGATGGACATTGGGCTGCACCCACTTTTTGGCTGTTATGAATAATGCTGTTATCTGTTTCTATACACATTTTTGTATGAGCATAGGTTTTCAGTATCTCTGTGTATATAGTAGTGTGACATCTGGGTCATGTGACAACTATGTGTTTGACATTTTCACGAAGTTTCCACGGAGGCTGCACCATTTTCCCATTCCCACTGACAGAGTGGGGGAACTCCAGTGTCTGCACGATTTGTCAGTGTGTGCTATTTTCTGGATTTGTTTATTTACTTATTAACCGTCATCATCCTAACAGGCATGAAGTGGCGTCTCATTGCAGCCTCGGTGTCTAGTCCATCTGAACTGGTAAGCTTACTAACCCCTTTCCCAAATCTTTAAACCACTGTCACCTTCTGACTTTGTTCATCTGTCCATCCATCCATCCGCACACATACACACTGTACACAAATGCACACTATGCACAGACTACACATACTACATACACATGCACAGTGTATACACTCACACTGCACACATACACTGTATACACATACACACTGTATGCACACAGTATACACACTGATGCTGCACACACACTGCACACATATACACACTACACATGCACATTATACACATACACTGTACACACACTATACACATACACTGCACACACTATATACACTTGCACACTGGATACACACACTGCACACACTTATACACCATATACACACTATAAACACACACAATGCCCACGCATACACTATACACACTATACACATGCACACTGTATACACATACACACTGCACATACTTACACGCAGACTGCACACTGCATACATACTGTACACAGTACACACTGCATACACATAAACTGCACATGCATACACACTGTACACACACTATATACACATGCACAGTGGTATACACTGTACACACTTATACACCATATACACATTGTAAACACACTGCACACACATACACTGTACACATACATAATGCACACACATGCACACTGCATAAACAGTACACATGCACACTATGCACTGTACACACACACACTGTAAACTGTACACACAATGCACACACACTGTACACACTTATACACCATAGACGCAAACACTACACACACAATGCAAACACACAGTGTACACACTATACACTGTACACACTTATACACTGCATACACACACTGTACATGCATACACATTACACACATGCTATACACACTGTACACACACTGCACACATACACACTACACATGACACTACACATTCACACATGCTGTCCACACTTATACAGTGTACATGCACACTGCAAACACTGCACACTTATATACCAACACACTGCACACATACTATATACACACTGTAAACACACACTGCATACACATATACACTACACATGCACAGTGTATACACACATACACGGCACATGCATACACACTGTACACACATACTGTATACACATACACATAGACTGCACACACACACACTGCATACACTTATGCTGTGCACGCATACACACTGTACACTATATACACATGCACACTATACACTTATATACCATATGCATAAACATACTGCACATACACACTACACATACACAGCTTAACCCATCACAGCCTAACCCATCACAGCACACCCATCACACCTCACCCATCACACCTCAACCCACCACACCTCACCCATCACACCTCAACCCATCACAGATTAACCCATCACAGCTTAATGAATCACACCTCACCTATCACACCTCAACCCAGCAGACCTCACCCGTCAAACCCTTCCCATCACATCTTAACCCATCACATCTCAAACACACTGCACACACTCTACACGCATACACATTGCACACGTATGCTATACACACTGCACACACTGCACATGACACTATACACATTCACACACACACGTTACACTGTACACACTTATACACAAACACTGCACACATACACACTATACACACACTTCTACACTGTATACACATACACATTGCATACATGGACTGTACACACACACCATATACACACTGTACACACAACACTGCACACATATGCATGCTGTACACACTTATACATCATATGCATACACTGCACGTCATATAGCGCACACATATGCACTGTATGCACATACACACTACACATACTATATACACATACCCACTATGCACCACATACATACTGCATACACTATACACACACTGTACATGCACACTGTATACGATGTACACACTTATACACCATATATACACACTGCACATGCATACATATTGCACACACATACACTATACACACTGTTTACACATATGCACTGTACCTTTTATACACTCACTGTACACAAACCCTGCACAGACATGCTGCACACACACTTTACACACTTATACACCATATAAACACACTACACACACACTATACACACATTGCACACACATACACAGTACACTGTACATATGCACACTGCATACACATATACACTACACATACAATGCACACACTATGCACTTTATGCTGTATACACTTATACACAAGCACTGCACATGCATAGACTCTGCACACACATACACACTGTACACACATGCACACTGTATACACAGACTACACACACTGTATACACATGCACACTGAATACACCCACACTGCATGCACACTGTATACACACTGATGCTGCACACACACTGCACACATATACACACTACACATGCACATTGTATACACATACACTGTACACACACTATATACACTTGCACACTGGATACACACACTGCACACATACTTTACACTGTACACACTTATACACCATATACACACTGTAAACACACACACTGCCCACGCATACACTATACACACTATACACATACACACCGCACATACTTATACACAGATACACACTGCACACATACTGTACACAGTACACACTGCATACACATAAACTGCACATGCATACACACTGTACACACACTATATACACATGCACAGTGGTATATAATGTACACACTTATACACCGTATACACACTGTAAACACACACTGCACACACATACATTGTACACATAAATGCACACACATGCACACTGCATAAACACAGTATATACACTGTACACACATACACAAGCACTGTAAACTGTACACACAATGCACACACACTGTACACACTTATACATCATAGGTGCAAACACTACACACACAGTGTACACACTATACACTGTACACACTTATACACTGCATACACACACTGTACATGCATACACATTACACACATGCTATACACACTGTACACATACACACTACACATGACACTATACACATTCACACATGCTATCCACACTTATACACTGTACATACACACTGCAAACACTGCACACTTATACACCAACACACTGCACACATACACACTATAAACACACTGTAAACACACACTGCATACACATATACACTATATACACATGCATAGTGTATATAAACATACACGGCACATGCATACACACTGTACACACATACTGTATGCACATACACATAGACTGCACACACACATTGCATACACATATGCTGTGCATGCATACACACTGTACACTATATACACATGCACACTATACACTTATATACCATATACATAAACATACTGCACATACACACTATACATACACAGCTTAACCCATCACAGCCTAACCCATCACACCACACCCATCACACCTGAACTCCTCACAACTCAACCCCTCACACCTCAACCCATCACACCTCACCCATCACAGCTTAACCCGTCACACATCACCCACCACACCTCACCCATCACACCTCAACCCATCACAGCTTAATGAATCATACCTCACCCATCACACCTCACCTATCACACCTCAACCCAGCAGACCTCACCCATCAAACCCTTCCCATCACATCTCAACCCCTCACATCTCAACCCATCACACCTCAAACACACTGTAAACACACTGCTCACACTACACACTTATACACCACATACACTACACACATACACATTGCACACATACGCTATACACACTGTACATACTGCACACACTGCACATGACACTATACACATTCACACACACGTTACACTGTACCCACTTATACACCATATACACAAACACTGCACACATACACTACACACACTTCTACACTGTATACACGTACACATTGCATACATCGACTGTACACACACACCATATACACACACTGTAAACACATAACACTGCACACACATGCACGCTGTACACACTTATACACCATATGCATACACTGCACGTCACATTGCACACACATATGCACTGTATACACATAAACACTACACATAATATAGACACATACCGACTATACACCACATACACGTACTGCATACACTATACACACACTGTACATGCACACTGTATATGCTGTACACACTTATAGACCATATATACACACTGCACATGCATACACATTGCACACACATACACTGTACACACTGTTTACACATATGCACTGTACTCTTTATACACTCACTGTACACAAACCCTGCACAGACATGCTGTACACACACTTTACACACTTATACACCATATAAACACACTGCACACACATACACAGTACACTGTACATGTGCACACTGCATACACATATACACTGCACATACTCTACACATATACACAATGCACACACACTGCACTTTATGCTGTATACACTTAATACACAAACTGCACACGCAGACACTGCACACACATACACACTGTACACACATACACTGTAATACACCATTTTCACAAAACACTGTACACATGCTGTAAACAGACTGCACATGCATACACCATAAACACTGTATACGCACATATACTGTATACACATATACACTGCTTACAGATACTGTATACACTTATACCTTGAGTACCTACATACACTGTACACACATGCACACTGTATACAGACTACACACACTATATACACATGCACACTGCCTACACCCACACTGCACGCATACACACACTGTAGGCACACTGATGCTGCACACACTGCACACATATACACACTACACATGCACACTGTATACACATACACTGTACACACACTATACACTTGCACATTGGATGCACACACCACACATGCTTTACACTGTACACACTTATACACCATATACACACTGTAAACACACTACCCACGCATACACTATACACACTATACACATGTACACTGTATACACATACACACTGCACATACTTATATGCAGACTGCACACTGCACACATACTGTACACAATACACACTGCATACACATAAGCTGCACATGCATACACACTGTACACACACTACACATGCACAGTGGTATACACTGTACACATACACCGTATACACACTGTAAACACACTTCACACACATACACTGTAC